CTTAGCAAGAACACAAACAGAGCTAAATAAAGTGAACAAAATCGAAGAACTCAACCATAAACACGTATAATAAAGAATAAGGATTAACAACACGAATTAACATGTGAGAATAGGAATAACAACAAAAGTAGAAGAATCTTGCATAATAGAAAGGAAACAAGAGAGCAAACTCAAGCATAGTAGAAAAGAAAGCATATGAGCATAACATAGGTAAACACACATGAAGAAAGAACAGAAAGAATCGGAAATATATTTGAAGAAACTTTTTCAGAAACCCTAAAATTGAAATTGAGCGATTTTGAAAAAGAAATTTGGGGAAAACCCTTTTAAAATATCAAGTAAAGCCCAGACATATCACAGATCTAAGAAAAAATAGGCGAGTACAGAACCTCATATGGCTTAGAATTGCAGAGAAAACCCTAGAAATGAGAAAGGTCTTGAGGAAAGTCAGATCCTAAGTCGAAAAGACTCATATTGCTTGAACATGCCGGGGTAATGGCCGGAGAAGCCATAGATCTACAGATCTGAGAAGGATCTGAAGAGAGCCATTGAAATCGGGCTTCAAAACCTTGAATAGTTTAGGTCTGATGGTGAGAAAGGATGAGTACAGACCATCCATGGCCGGAGACGCCATGGATTCCAGTGGAAACATGATGAGATAAGGTGGGAGACAATTAGGGTTTCAGAGAGGCTTGAGAGGATTTGAGAAACGAAGTGGTTCAAAGGCGATGTCTCAGGTGAAATGAATTAGGTCAAGGGGAGTTTGGGAATTAAAAAAGGAAAGAGTGAAATACGGCCGTTGATCAAAATGATCAACAACCTGGATCAAAGGGGAGCCGAGTGGGTTTTTTTAATCGGGTCAGGGGTCGGGTAATTTGGGGATTGGGCTGGTTTAATTTGGGGGCGGAATTGGGTCAAATTGAGGGACAAAATTGAAAGGTCAAAGGGCTGTAATTGAAATAGAAATGGGCTAAGTGTTAAATAGCCTATTTTTCCTTTTTAATTTATAAAAATAGTAATAATAATTTTAAAAGTAAATTATAAACACTGTGCCAACAAATACTATATAAATATTAATTTAAAGATACTGGAAATAATTTTATACTTATAAAATGCTACTAATCGTGAAATAGGCTATAATTGCAATTACATGCAATTTAGCTTAAAATACCAAATAGATTTTTAAAAAATATAGAAAAAATAACATTAATTATATTTTGGTGTAAATATGAGAATAAAATAATTTATTCACCAAAATGATAATCTTGGGAATAATTATTGGATTTTGTACTGCTAAAAATAGACAATAAATTGATTTTAAAATCTTAAAAATTAGGAAAAAATACCAAAACTCTTGGGCATGCTTATATATGTATGTACATGATATTTTGAAAGTATTTTATATATAAAAATACATATGGAAAAATTGGGTATCAACACCAGGTACCATCAGGTAAGGGTTAAGGAGGAAGATATTTCGAAGACAACATTCAGAACTAGATACGGGCACTTTGAATTTCATGTTATATCGTTTGGTTTGACCCATGACCCAACAGTATTCATGGATTCGATGAACCGTGTGTCCAGGCCCTTTTTAAGATCTATTCGTAATCGTATTTATAGACGATATATATTGGTATATTCTCGTTCAGAGGCTGAGCATGAAGATCACTTGCATACTATGCTCAGAGTTCTACAAAAAGGGAAGCTATATGCAAAATTCCTTAAATATGAATTCTGGTTGAACTCTGTAGCTTTCCTTGGGCATATCATTTCGGGTGAAAGTATTCGGGTGGATACACAAAAGAGTGAGGCATTGAAGACATGGCCTAGACCCACAACACTAGCGGAGGTTCGTAGCTTCTCTGTTTGGTTGGTTAATACAGGAAACTTGTAACAGAATTTTCTTCTCTTCTAAGAACCTTTGACCAAAGTGGTATGTGGTGTCTCGCTTAATGTTCCGGAATAACATAAGGAAATCTATGATGCAAGTAAGTTGAAGAAAGGTTACAAATAAGTATAAATAGATATGTGTAGGTCATAAACTAAAGTATGGTAGAGCAGCGAGGTTTTAGGAAGACAGGAGGAATGATAAGAAAAGATGAGTGAAAAGGTGACGATAATGGATAAGTCCTTGGGAATAAGTTCATAAGAGAGATGATGGTTTCTCTAAGTTATAGAAGACTCGGTATAGCCCGAATGAACTCAAAGGATTCTAAGACTAGTAACATTTAGAATAGATGGAACGCTGCCCTAATAGTGGGATAAGGGCGTAATTGTGATGAATAAAGGATGAAGTTTGGGCCTCCGAAGAGGGGAATTTCCTGAATTGTAAAAGATTAGGATACCCATGTAAGTTAACTCAGAAGGGAACTAAGTTTTAATGGACTAATCTTTGTGAATGGAGTTACCGGGCATTGAAGGACAAATTAACTTCAGCACCAGTTCTACCGCTCCCAGAAGGGACATATGGTTATGTTATCTATTGTGACACTTCAAGCATTGGATTGGGTCGTGTGCTGATGCAGCATGGTAAGGTTGTAGCTTATGCTTATAGACAACTAATAAAGCACGAGAAGAACTACCCGACCCACGATTAAGAGTTAGCCCTGGTGATTCATGCACTAAAGATGTGGACGCACTACTTGTATGGCATTCATGTTATATCTATGCGGATCATAAGAGCCTCCAGTATATCTTCAAGAAAAAAAGAATTGAATTTACGTCAAAAAAGATGGTTGGAGCTAATTAAAGATTATGATGTTGATATTTCATGCAATCCGGGGAAAGCGAACGTAGTAGCCAATGCCCTCAGCCGTAGATCTATGGGTAGCCTGTCATATTTACAGCCAGAAAAAAATGGAGAATTGCCCATGAGGTTCACCAGCTAGCTAGTCTTGGAGTTCGGTTACTAGACTTAGGTCATATTGGAATTTCTATTCAGGATAAGGCAACATCCTCGTTAGTAACTGAAGTAAAGGAACGCTAGTACAAGGATCCTGTATTAGTTCATTATAGGGATACCACCCATCAAAAGGATAAGACACCATTTGAAATTATAGAAGATGGGGTCCTCAGATATCGAGTTCATAGCTGGAATGATCATCTACCGCTTATTGAGTTCGCATATAATAATAGTTCCCATTCCAGAATTCAGATGGATCCATACGAAGCCCTTTACGGATGAAAGTGCAGGTCACCTATAGGGTGGTTCGATGTTGGGGAATCTGGATTACATTGGCCAGACCTTATAGGATCATTCGGAGAGTGGGCCAAGTAGCTTATGAGTTAGAATTTCCTTCAGAATTGGGGTCTGTCCATCCAATTTTTCATGTATCTATGTTACAGAAGTGCATTGGCGATCCTACCCGAGTGGTGCCCACGGATGATGTACATATTACAGAGGACTTGTCATACGAGGAAATTCCAGTTGCCATCCTAGAGCGACAAATCCGCAAGCTACAGAATAAGGAGGTAGCCTCCGTGAAAGTACTTTGGAGGAACAACAATGTGGAAGAAATAACTTGGGAGGCAGAGGAAGACATAAAGTCTAGATATCCCTACTTATTTCCTCCTCTAGAGAAGGTTCCGACTGAGACATCATAACCATAAGGTATGTGTACAAATTCTTTTATTGGTTATTGTCGTTGGTCATGTGAGGCCATTGTCATTAATGATAAATGTGGTCATGTATGGCATTTGATTATTAAACTCTACAGGGAGAATGGGTAGTAGTGTTGTTACAAAGGCGACCCTACCAAAGTTATATAGATCACGGGGAGTTGAACATTCGACGACGAATGTTTCTAAAGGGGGAAGGATGTTACATCTCACATTTTTGTATGTTATAAGTTTCGTCTTCAATTAATCGACGTATTCTCGGGGATGAGAATATCTTGAGTTTAGTGTATTTACGCTAATTGTAACAAGCGAGAAATAAGTATCATGAAGGATAAAAGGTTACATGAATTAAAGAAAATGAGTTTCGTTGAAAATGGGCAATTTGGGATAAAGTACGGGTCGAACGATACTACCTGATAATTATGGACTAGTACCATACAAGGTACCATATGGCCGTGATAATATATATATATATATATATATATATATATATATATATATTAAAAATGAGTAGTATTTTTAGGTAATTTGAGATAATTCTTAATTATACGGGAAATTAGTTAATTACTAGGTAACGGAACATTACCCAGTTAACTAATAAGTGGATAAAAATTACCAAATTTACACCCCAAAAGAAATGTGGCAGCCCCCTTTTAGTTTAAGGTGACTCATTATCCATCTTTACATGTGTCACATTAAGGTTTAAGTGGCAAGAAAGAGACGTTTTATAAGTCTTATCAAAATAAGACTTACTTATAAGCAAAACTCAAATGTCCATTTTCACTTTCATTACTGGTAGATTTTCAGCTTGAAGTTCATTGTGCACCATTAAAGTTGGAGTAAATTCTCCATTTTCTTGCATGAAATCATCCCAATCATTCGAACCAAAGGCTACTGCATAACCCATTACGAGCTTATAAGCATTATACATGAATCATTCCTTCAAAAATGTTCTATCTTTGGTCCACAAGAAATATTACAAACAAAAGCTAAATAACTCACTTTGATTTATATATATATAATCTTCTTCAAAAATGTTAAAAACAGAAGCGGATTCTGTGACCTCGGGTGTGCACTAGGTCATATCTTCAGGTTCTTCCAATCGGGAGTTGGTACCTCCCGTTTTCCTGTTTATCTCTTTATGATAATTAAATTCTGCCTATCTTGTTAGCATTACTTTAAGCATATTATTAGCGCACTTGTAGTTGCTACTTGTTACCTTCTAGTTGGGCCCTATTCTGTGCTAGTGCTTGTCCGTACTCTATCGTGGCTGTAGTTTGGGATGGTAGAGTAAGGTCATGTCCTCAGGGGGTACGGAGGGTGGGGAGGG